TCGAGGGGCGGGGGAGGGAGGTGGGCGGCGCGGTGAGGCGGCGTGAGCCACCGGCCGCGAGCGTTGGAGGGTGGGGGAGGGGGCGGAGGAGGAGGGGTGCAGCGCACGACCCGTCGCGCAATAACGCTGTCCAATTATTAGTTAGGTATCTCTAGCTAATATAACACTATCTCACTAGCTATCATAATTCAGCCAATGTCTGCTAATCTTCTATACCTAAGTAGAACCCCACTACAGGATTTCTCTGCCATATCTTGTTTTTTTTATGCATATAAGAATTCATGAATCGGATAAGATATCATCATTTTTCCTAATTGTGAACAAGGTCTAGATTTTGATTGATTGAAACATATAAGATGTTGTAGTCTTCTTCGTATGTATACTCGGATCAGTGAGTGTGTTGGGCGGTGAATGAGATAAGTTAGCACGCAGCTTCTAGCTGCCTTGCCTAGAGACCATTGCGCAACTAATTATTCCCTTTCATTCCAAATTATAAGGCGTTTTGACATTTATAGATTCTTATTAGGTTTTGTCTACGCATCTAGATACATATTATGTGTAGATACATAGTAAAAGCTATGAATTAAGAAATACCAAAACGTCTTATAATTTGGGACACGGGGTGTAGTAACTAACTAAAAAAATGATGCAAATATAGTTTTTTTAACCCCTAAGAGTCAAGGTGCGAGAGTTTAGCACTAATGGTCAATGAACTTTGTCTTATTTTCTTTTCTTTTGTAGAGATGGGTACATGTACTAGGTAAGCCAAATAATACTACTTTGTATGGGTAATTTCCTGAAAACTTGTTACAAGCAAATCGTGTTTAGCCATATAAAGAAAAAAAAAGAGTTGTTAAGAGTGGTTAAGTGAGCAAACCCAGAACAACCCACGCGGAGGGCCCTCGGCGTGGATAGCCCAAGAAGAAGCTTAAACATCGGCCTTATTCCTTGACAAGAGTAAATCGTGTTTAGCATGGCCGAATATTAAGCCGGTCCGATAATCAGCCTTCATCACGGTGGCCGACAATCGGTCCGCCTATCGCCAACATCATTGCGAGCTCCTTGGGCCAAAAGCTAGCTGTGTGCACGGGCTCAAACTCACAACCCATGTCTAAAATTTTCACAGCCTTCATCATACCAGCGCATGCCTAAAAGTGATAATCACAGCCTTCATCATGGTTTTGGCCCAGGCTCAACTGTGCTGTGCTGTGCTGTGCTCAACGGTTTTTGCCACGCAACTACGCGAGAAGTCGTCACCACCATATTGGCTGCTATTGCATTGAAGTCGTCACCACCATATTGGCTGCTATTGCATTGCTTCCACTGATCAGACCAGCGCATGCCTAAAAGTGATGCTCTACGTGCTCCACATATCCTGCATCAACGACCGATAGATGAAAAAACTTTATGGCGCGAGCCAAGGGTGTGTGTGTGTGTGTGTGTATATATATATATATATATATATATATATATATATATATATATATATATATATATATATATATATATATAGAGAGAGAGAGAGAGAGAGAGAGAGAGAGAGAGAGAGAGAGAGAGAGAGCTGAGAGAGCTCAATTAAAATCCGTGTGGCATGGCTTTAAATGGCTTCACCTTCTTGCTATGCTGCGCGAACAAGTCAACGCAGGAAAATAGTAGATTCATCGTCGGCTCAATAGTTCATTTCAAGAGGAGAGATGAAAACAACTCCTCACTATATTACATGGATGAGCCGAAGCTCTACCAAATAATACCTAAGTTTTTGGCTAGATTTATGAAAAAAAATAATGTAATTCTTATTTTTGAGAAGTCAATCAATCTTAAATTTAGCTAGATTTATGAAAAAAATATCAACATTTATATTTTGACATAAATATTTTTATAAATTTATTTTTTTGACAAGTCAATCAATCTCGAATTTAACTAGATTCGTAGAAAAATATCAATATTTATATTGCTAAATTAATTTCTACAAAAAAAAATTGCTTAATTAAAAAACTCAACGGCTTTGATATGAGACAGACGAAAGGGCCTAAAATTTTCTCCCATGTACAATCAAACTCGGGACATGAGGAGCGCTATTTGAACCACCTAACCAACTCAGTTAGAGGCATGTTTGCGATACATTCTATAATTAATATAATGATACTTATTACGTATCGTAAATATTGGTATTTTTAAATAAATTTAGTTAAATTAAGATTGACCGATTTCTCAAGAAGCAAAGATTTACATTTGTTTAGACGGACGGAACCTATAAATTCTCATGCCAAAATAGTACAAGTACAGCGCGAATCCTGTGAGACCTCTGCTCAGCACAGTAGTCAACGGGTCTACTGGTGTACGTATATACAGTATATATATACAACATTCCGGCAAAAAACACTTGTTGATTTCTTTGTGAGAGAAAACACCGCTCCAAATTTGAAAAAAAAGAAGCCAAAGAAGCTGGATTATAAGAGCTGCTTAGTAATGGTCAAGGCAGCTACTTCGTTTAAATAGAATTTGGGCAAGTTGCCAATCATGTTTATCATTGCCGTGGGCACACATCAGCAGCCCTGAAACAGTAAACAAATGCCATAAGCCTATAAGAGACGATGAGTGACATGTGATTATGCGGAGAATCCTTCAGGATCAAAGCCTCCAATTTGACTCCGCACCATAACAAATCAAGTATTAAATTCGCAGTTGCAAAGACGAATACAAAAGTACGCATGCATGCCGAGTTCACTTCCAAACGAAGAACAAGAGGCAGCCGATATTGTCTGCCTGGCATAGAGACTGAATGGCAAGTTACTATATTTTCTTCCTCCTGCTAGCCTATCAACCATTCAAATGTCCTCCTGCACGGGTTAAAACTTAGAATCCTATAGGCTATATGAGGCATCAGTGTATTAGAAGTTTGTGTTTATTACCTACATGCAACTAATCAAATTAAATTACTTCCATCTGCACTCTCCATCTCTTAATTTATTTTTAACACAACACATACGTAGATATTCTGTAATTTCTATCCATTTATGATAAACTTATCAATTAGTACTTTGTATCTTTCTTCATCCATGTTTGTGGTTTTCTCCTCTTCATAACACGTACTCTATGTGTCTTCAATATGCTTCTAGTTGAAATCTTAGAACTAATTATGGTGGATTTTGAATTTTTCAAATTACGTGCTATAAATCTTTACTTCCATGTTAAATTGAAACACTTAGGGTTATTGTATCTTTCACTGAAAACTCTTTTTAGTAAACTAAGGACTTTACGTCTACTTTGATGACATACATCAGTGGTAACCTTCACAACACCGCTTAAGATTGGTTGTGGAGCTTTAAGTGAGATTAAAGGCCGGTTTGTCATGGCTCGGGCTCCGGCAGCAGAGGAGCCGAAGGAATCATACCAAATATTTTAGGAAGAGGAGCCTTTTCTAGTGAATAGTAAGGAGTCGGAGCTGTTTTTTTGTCTAGAAGAGGAGCTACAATTTATGTCTCCTCCTAAAGTGCTCCGGCTCCTCCAGAGGAGCACTTCAGGAGGAGCCATGCCAAACAAGCCCTAAGAAGGGTCTAACGATACTAAATTCAAGAAGATATTAATATATGAGCCTAACAATCACCTCAAAAGGAATTTAAAAAAAAACTATGGGGCAATGGTCCGCTTTGTTCTATACTAACTTCATTCACGAAAAACGTTAAATTTTCTCTATCTAAGAAGTATACATGCAATAGCACTCTGGCTCTAAATTGGCTATCACTGTGGGTTTCGAATCGGTAGTGGGCGGCAGCGATAGCTATTACTGCCAATTGTGGGCTAAAACCAGCAGTAACAATACCCAAAAAATGTATGTTCCTCAGATTTAAACTTATGCCTTAAGCCTTACATAGCCTTCTTATCAGCTCAACTACACAACAACTTCCAACTTTTGACTATATAACAAACACACTATTGGTTTAACTTCACATTTATGTATCTCATATTGCATATTTGGTACTCTATATTATCTCAAGTGTTAAAAAATCAACTCTAAAATTGTAGACCTCATCAAGTGCTACAATTTTGATGTTGATATTTTGTCTCCATCAGAGATTGTTTAACATGCCAAAGCACTTTTATTGAATATATATTTGGACGTCTAAAACATCTCAAATCAAAAGGTCGTCAACTACAATGTTCGCTTGATCGTTTACATGGCTTATAAAGTACCGATGCCTTTTGTTGTTAGAGAAAACATCAGACATCATGGTTGATAAGCATGGCTGATACGATCAAGCGAACTTGGTGATATATAATTCTGATATAAAATTTGTCCTCATGTAACTTCATATAAAAAGGCATGATTTTTTTTCGTGGAACAGTGGGGTTCACTACCGGTCATAGCCACGGAGATGCTTAACCAGGGAGATGCTCACGTGTGAGCCTAGCAATTCTGTGCCTTTTTTTTTATCTCGCCTATACTACTGTAACTGCAGAGCTGCCTTTAGCCGCCTATCCGTTCGCCATCTCCCTCATCAGTCGCTGGTTCCACGCTGCCTCCTCTTGACTGACTCCGCCTGACCGCCCGCCGCAGGTTTCCCTCGCCATGGCTCCTCCTCGGACTCAGAGGTTCGTATTCCGAATCTCTCCCTCTCTGGCCTCAAACACACTCTCGTTCAAATAAATCCGAGACAACCAAGTTCGCCGCAAACGCAAAGTCGCCGCCTTTTGTGTCCCCCCGAGCGGGCGAGCCTCTGTTTCTTGGTTTCCGTTCTGTTACTGCACAAGTCGTCTTCGCTATTCAGCCTTGCCTCCGAGTTGTCATCGTTTTCCTAGCATTTTCGGAGCTTTACGCGCATTTTGTTCTGGGTTTATTTTCTGGTTGGGGGAGGAATCGAGTGCGACGCAGGAGGACACTGATTTTATCCCCTGTTAAATGAGTAGCATCTAGGAACAGTAAGTGTGTGCGCGCGCGCGCGCGTGTGATGCGAAGAGAGGAGAGGATGGAAATCGAGGAAGCCGCCGGCGGCGGCGAGATGGGGGAAATGGAGGCCCCCGCGGTCAGCACGGTGGCGGTGGCGGTCAGCGGGGGCAGGAGCAGCAGGCACGCGCTCAAGTGGGCCCTCGACAAGTTCGTCCCCGAAGGGAGGGTCCTCTTCCGGATCTTGCACGTCCGCCCGGCTATCACCATGGTGCCCACTCCAAGTGAGTAATCGCCTTCCCCTCTCTCTCTCAATGGTTTTAATTCTAGGATGGGTGGTCCATCAACTTGCGCTAGTTTCATTTAGTTCAATCAACTGTGAAAGTGTGTTTTTGGGTTCATAATCTTGGTTAGTGGCGCATTCCTAACCCATACCCCTTTGTTTCAATTTTTTAACCGGACGTAGCACCTCTGGGTCCAGTGGACGCCGCGACTTTTACGATGCATGTGCATGCATGATGCATGCATGTCTGCTGTCTTGGCGAAAAGACGGTGGATCGGGCTGCCGCTATGCCGGCTGTCGTTATTGTTGCTGCCGTCGTCGCCGTCCCTCGCGCCGCCGCCCTCGCTACTCCCGTCGCTCTTCATCGTAGGCGTCGCCCATGTCCGCCACCGGCTCCCGAAGCGAAGCGGGATGAGGCGTATCTGGCGTAGATGTCGTCGGTGTCGGGCTCGGCCGTGAGCTCGACGGCCGCCACGCCGCACGGCACGAACGGCGCAGACGACGCGACGCCCATGGCGCTGTAGAGTCCACGGCAATTGCATGGCGCTGCGCGCGCTGGCGCGGGGAGCCGCGCCGCGCCGCCACAATCGCGGTGCACGCCGCGCTACGGCGCTCTTCCGGCCGGGCGACTCTCCATCGGGCTCGCTCGCCCCAAGGCTCCTCGGCCGATGTGGGTCGCCAATGCCTCGCGCGTGGCCGCGGCGCGCCCGGCACGACGGTGGTGCTTTCCATCCAGCAGCCAAGCGCGACGCCTCCACTCTGCTGTGGATCGCTGCTCCTCCTCTCCTGCTGGCACCGCTCCTCCACCACGGTTCGCCGCATCCTCTCGACGCTTTGCCCTCCCTCTTCGGCTCTCCCAAGGCCTCGTGCGTCCCGCTGCAGCCTCAACCCACTCGAAGTTCGCCCTTGAGGTCCTCGACCAGGCTCCTCATCCCACCCCTCACCCACGAACCCAAGCCAACGACGCAAGAGCTCAACTCGCCGTCGTCAAGCCACTCACCACAAGATGGCCGCAGCGGACGACGTCGTCTCACGGGTTCGCCGTCGCCGAGGCCGTTGCACGAGTTGGTGGTACTTTGCACAAGACGGCGTGGAAGGTGGTGTACCGAGCAAGCAAACGCCTCTCACCAACTTCCTAGAGGCCATGCTTCAGGGCACGTTCATGGGCACGATCTACATCCACGCCGGCTACGGCGAGGCCGGCGCCAAGGCTAAGCGATCGGGCTGTTTGCCTTCACGCCACGTTCTCGCGACTTCCACGGCCGAGGACGCCGCCGACGTTCGTGACGAAAAGCGCCCATCGCTCGGGCGGAGACGGGCGGCAGATCGCACCTGCATTGTCGTCGCGACGTGGGGGCGCCACGCTGGTGTTCTCGCTGCAGATTCTTCTCGCCGTGGCGCGCTTACTCCGTGCAGCGTCTACTTCCTCGTGGGGGCTCGTCATTGGTGCCTTCGCGGCGTTAAATCCCGTGGTGTGGGCGGCGGTGGCGAGCCGGTTCTTCAACAGAATACTTTCGAGCCGCGCGAGCTCGCCGAAGCTTCTGGCGGCGAGCAGTCGGATAGGTTAGTGACGGGCGATGTCGTGGTATCTGGAGCCGCGTCAGTTGCCGAAGCTCGCAGGGAACGCCGCAAATCATAGGCATGTATGTCGGATCTCCGGTTTGCTCTAGCGACGCGAGGTGTCGAGCTTCTGAAAGAAGCCGCTTTGGTCAAGACGTTCCGGCGAGGTGCAGGAACCGCAGCCGAGCGGAGCTGCCCGATCTCGGTCGGGACGCTCCCTGAAGAAGCTGCCGCCGAGGTTGAGCATTGGAGCGACGCTTCGCCGAGGTCGCAGCGGGCAGCTGGTCGACGGGCAGCTTTCTTTGTAGGCATCGAAAGCACGGCGAAGCGACGCCGTCGGGGAACATGCCGTTGAAGAAGTTGTGGTCGACGTCGAGCGACTCCAGCACCGCCGGAGTTAGAACACCGCCAATGCCGGAACTCCCCGCTAACGCATTCCGCCGAGGTTGAGCGACACTGTGTGGGCGCAGCCAGCAACCGCTTGGCTACATACGCGGCGGCGGCACCTCCCTGAACGCCCGCAGCGGCGGCTTCGCCCGTCTTTACCTTCGCACACCCACGGTGACGGCATCGGCTTATGCTCGCGCGCGCAGCCGCGGGTATGCACATGCGCTCCTCGTGGCGTCATTTGCGCCGTCGGCGCCGCCGTCTACTACTTTCCCGCAGGCTATGCCGATCATGCGCGCGCCGCAGCCATGGACGTGAGGCCGCTGGCGGCGCGTCTCATTGTTCGTGCTGTGCCACATGGCGGACGTGGGCGACGCCTGATGAAGAGAGCCACGGAGCAATAGGGTGGCGGTGCCGGGACGGCGATGGCCAACAAGCAGCAGCAGCGGCGGCAGCCGGCAGCCCAAATCCGTTGTCTTTCGCCAAGATGCCGAGCGCAGATGCATCATGCATGCACATGCATCGCAGGTGTCTTGGCGCCCACTGGACCGGAGGTGCCACGCCGGTTAAAAACTTGAAACAAAGGGGGGTATGGGCTAGGAATGCGCCACTAACAAAGATTATGGACCAAAAACCCACTTTCAGAGTTGATGGACCTAAGTGAAACTAGAGCGTAAGTTGATGGACCACCCATGCATTTAACTCTAATTCTATTTACGCCTGTCTGTGTATGCAGTAGCACTTCTAGTAGTCTTCAGATAAACTTCCTCCTGTTTACCGTACTAGAGTCTGAAGTCTAAACCCTGAAATGTCTAGTCTCTATGATGATTATTTTTTTTTTCTAGAAAAAAGGAGTAATTGAGAGAATATATATAGTTTATTGTTAAGGAGGTTCTAACAGGAGGAGGTGGAGGTTAGCAATTTGATGCATCCAATATGTGAATGAGTTGACAAAAATGCTTTTAAAAGGTCTGCACATTACACTGAATGTGGATTCTGCATTTCTGCTTCCCAATGTTGGATAAATCAGCAGTATAAACCTCTAGAGTTGGTATTTTTATTGTATGAAATGACACTTACATATTGCGATGTCAAAACCCACAATTTTAGTCCTGGAGAAGGAACTAGCAATTTGAAGCTAGCAATTTATCCACGATGCTCTTATGAACCTCAAAAGTATCTTTTCTTTTTGGCTTTTCTGTTAGGACTGTTCCCAAGTTATCTTATCAGCTACCTTTTCATGCATGGTACTAGATACTACTCCTTATGTCCTGACTTGAATAAAACAGTGGTGCTAGACCTTCTACTAGACAATAGCGCCAGCCGCCAGCTATTTTGTTACGAAAACACTGTATCATGGTCGATAAGCATGGCTGACAATCTGATCGTTTAACAGGGTGTATAAGTCGGCTGATGCTGTTTTGTTTTGAGAGAAAACATCGTATCATGACTGATAAGCATGGCTGATACGATCAAGCGAACATGGTGTATAAACACTTTTTTGTGACCAATATGCCACACCAAATGTGTACCAACTACTGAATTCGGTGTACCAAGCTTATTAGATTGTATGAATTCTGCAACCTTTATTGTTGGTGTGACAATTTTGAAATTATTAGTGTACCTGCTACTTGCAACGGCTCCAAATCATTTGAGTAACAACCGGTTCCTTTTTCTCTTTTGTTAGTGGGAAATTTTATACCAATCTCACAAGTACGTGAGGATGTGGCATCTGCGTACATAAAAGAAGCAGAATGGCGAGCCAGTAATATGCTAGTTCCTTTCCAGAAGATGTGTGCTCAGAGAAAGGTCAGGATTAGCTTGCATAATTGTCTAATCGTTCCACCTGCAGTTAATATTTTGTTTTCAGGAATCATTTATACCCTATTTCTGATTAACAGGTAGAAGCTGAAGCTGTTTTACTTGAATCAGATGATGTTGCTTCTGCTATAAGTTTTAAGAGATAGGAAAATTCAATATTTGCAAGTTAGTTTTAGGTTCTTCATCAAAGAATATATTTCAAGGTAATTTCTTAAATCCCAGTATTTATTTGAACAAATTTCTATATTACTGCATATTATTGATCAGTCTATACATGAGCATATATGTATGCTGACCAGTCCTATAGTCATACCACATTATTTTTATTAAGTGAACTAGAGAAGATGACAAGTATGAACTTGTACAAAGCCAAAGCCTTCCTACCCATCAATTTCTCCTCTTCCTATGTGTTTTGCTGCCGTGGCACTGCAAAGGGGGATTCGACGGCACAGGATCCCGCCTCTTCACTCAAAACAAGATTTCATCGTGACTCACACTTCACCATTGTCTTCGCCCCAGAATGCTTCAGACCTCGACTTCACTTGTCACCAACACTTACGGTCCATCGGACTGCTGGGCTCAATACTCTTCGCACACCAGATGCACGACTTCGAACCTGAGACTCTTATTCAGTGGCCCCTCGGATCCTCCCCGGGACTTCAATCTTGTGCGCCTGCGCTTAATCGACAAGAACAATGGGCGTTTAGTGTGCCACTCTCCAATGCTTTCAACGAAACCATCCAAGACCTTCGGCTTGTCAAGTCGAGCTCGATCGGCTTTACACTGGACCAACGGCCAGCTACACCCGATCCTCGCACGGTTGGACATGGGGTCTTCACTAACAACAATCTCGACTTGATCTTCCCACTCACTAGCCTTTCCTCCCTCCCTAAACCGACCTCGGATCACACTCCGCTTTTGTTGTCGCTTTCCACAAGCCTTCCTAAGTCGCTTTTTCCGTTTGAACGTGCTCTGGCTTCGACATCAATCCTTTCTTCCCTACCGCCCCAGCGGGTTGGCAACAGACGTATGAACGGAAAGCGCACGCCACGGCATCCGCCTCGCGCATCAAGTCGACGTCGCGGCTGCTAAGGTTTGGTCGAGGTGTATAAGGCCACCCAATTACCTAATTCACAACTCAGAATTCATTATTCAGCTGTTTGATTTCTTCAAGAGACGAGAGCTCACAACACATGAGTTTCGTGCTCGCAGACAAGCTCAAGAAACCTTGCAGAACGTACTCAAAGCCAAAGCAACCTCATCGAAGCAAATAAGTAAGCAACGGGCAATCAAAGAATGTGACTCCAACACCGCTTTCATCATGCACATGCAACCCAACGCTCAAGGAGCAACTATATCAAAATGGTGAGGGTTGATGGTGGGAGGTCGCTCGACCATGATGGCAAGACACAAAGACCGACAGATTTCTTCAAGTCCATTATCGGGTCCCCGGTGACTCGGTGCCTCGTGATCTGCAAGCACATCTCGTGAGATGAGAGCACACCAAGTTGATCGATAACAGCACCTTCACCGAAAGCAAGAAACAAAGTTAGCTCGTTATCAATGAACTTGAAT